GCAATTTTAGAGTCAGTATAAGCACAAGGGAGCAGTGAGAGAGAAAGCATTTATTAAGACAAGTGTAATAGGTTTTTTTTCCCTGGGATAAACAACTAAATGTGTAAGACAGCTGACCCATTAAACTTGTTAACATTGTCCCCTGCTCCTTTGTTTACTGCAGTGTGAAAAGATCCAGTCAGCAATGACAGTTAAACTAATTTGATTACTCATTAGTTGATGCTTCCCTAGTCTTATATGCAGCTGCTGAGAAAACAATTAAAAAAATATATTTCCACTATGGCCAATTTAAGCTAACTGTGACGCAGTTTAATGGGGAGAGTAACGTAAAGCACTGCAATAGTTCAAAATGCAAGCAGCTCAGCCAGTGACATCGCTGTCACTGCTCAGCATCCTCATTTAGCATTGTGGGAGTCCCTGTTAGCGTGAATTTCTTCCTCCCACTTTAAGTACGTCAGCTTAGTCATGAACTAATATTACCCCTAAATATATTGAAACCCGTTTCACTTAAATTCAAGAAGCAAACTGCCAACCCTGTGAGAAACAGCTGCAGTGAATACCAACAGCCGCTTAGAAACATAACAACAGGCCAGTTACATTGCGAGTATCGTGTGAGCACACAGCAAATCCCTTCCCCTTCTGAAGGATGCGGCAGGTTTTGCTGCTCAGTTCCCTGTCAGCGGATGTAACTGGGCTCATTTCAAATGCTCCGAGAAGTGGTTTCCCCCCCACACATTTCTTTAGACATCTCGGTGTCTAAGGTTCTGGCAATGGATACACAGACACCGAACTACTCTGATCAGCAACTAATACTCTCTTGGAGCCTTTGATCTCTGCGCATGAGATCCAGTTCACCTTCTCTCCGTGCTCAATGGTTAGCTTTGGTAAAACTCTAGCACGTTCATGTGAAGCCACATTGTTGAGCTTTCCATCTTTTCTGGTGGAAGCAGGTGCCTGGGCCTTCCTTCTCTGCAGAGATTTCGCTGGACTTTTCTGCTGCTTTCCCACGTCACCGCTGACATCCCAGAGCAAGACTTTCCCGTCATTTCCTCCAGTCAGCAACCAGTATGCTTCTGGCATAAAGAGGACCTGCGATACTCCCAAGCTGTGACCTTGAAACTCCAGCTCACGTTCGAACTTGACACCGGTGACTCTGAATATTCTGACTTTACCATCTTGAGCTCCGCAGCCAAAGATGTTGCCGCACGATGCGACAGACAGGGAATGTGCAAGTGGTGGGTTAAAGAACTGGCCAGCTGACTGCGGGCTGTCTTCCTCTGTTTCGCACTCCTGCAGGTTTGTGGTCCACAAGGGGCGAGCTTTCTGCAGGTTCCACAGCATAACCTTGAAAAAAAAAAAAAAAGTATGAACCAATAACTTGTCCGTTTTATGTAAAATCAGAACTTTAACAGTAAAATAAAAACCAACCATGCTTCTTGCACTAGCAGAGCAAAGGCTGTGCACGAGTGCAAGAGATGCAAGACGTGTTGAGAAGGGTGGTTGAAGTTCACCCGATAAATATGGCATTGTTATGGCGCGCTTACCAAACCCTCAGACTGCCCGACTCAGCAGAGTCAATGACTCAGACCTTTACACCACAAAATGGATGGAAAAGCTGTTCTAAATGCTTTTGCATTCATCTCAGCAGTAGTAATCATGATATACTGCACATCAATTATTTAAAAGGAGGGACAGAGAAACGCTAGCAGTAAATAGAGATCATTATTGTTCTGAATTTTAGTTCTGTCTCTGCTACGTACTTGTCCTGAAATAATCACTTCCATGAACGTGTTTGAAAAATGGAACAGCAAAAGGCAAACAGTAGTTAAGGCCCTCAGACATATGTGTTTGGGGTTTTTTTTAGTATCCAATGAGTAGATCTGGTTTGTGCTATTCCCATATTGAGGTAGGGTGTGCTTTTCCTGATGAGTTGGGGGTGACGTTATGCTTTTAGACTGGCTTTTAAAATGCCACCCCACCTCCAGCCCCCCATGAAGCAATAACCGTGCCTTCAACTGAATCCTGCGTCTCTCATACAGCAATTCAAGTACTATTAAAACGCCAGTTAAAAATAATCCTCTCAACACTTTTGTAGGATCTGAATTGATGATGAGCATTTTCAAGGCCAATAGATATGAAAGCACAAGTCAGTCTAATGCAGTGCTGTTTGCTTTTTTTAATCAAAGCTTTGATTTGTTATTAATAAAAATTTTCCTCCACTAATAATCTCCAGTAGAAAGTGAAGGAGTCTTTAAATTTGGTCCACAAAAGAGTTGTCACACTGGCTCTGCGTTTCTGGAACCCAAATCACACTAATATATCCAAAATATTTTACTTCCTGTCACTTTTCTGTTTTAGCGACTGCTGTTGCTGCTACATTAAAACTATTTTTCCACCTATGAAAGGTAAAACTTTCCACTACAACTGTGCACAGCAGAGTAAATCAGACAGGCTGGGTCCTACTGCTTAAAGGCAAATACTCCTGTTTTCATCACAGACAGCACTGCATCAGCTCTATGAATTCATCAAGTGCTAACAAGTTTTCTGCAAACTAAGTCTCTTCTGTCCTCGTGGCCTTTTCCCTGCTTCCATGGAACTTCTGAAAAAACTCCAGCAACCTAAATTTCAGTTCTCATCAGCTACGGATTCACTGAGGGTTTGAAATGCAAGTCCAGAACATGTTTTGGTGCTCGTAGAGCTCATAACTTGTCCAAAGATGTGCCGCAGCACAGCATTTCAGAGTATTGCAGCTCAGCTTCATTTTGTGAAATGATGTCTCTTAAAGCCAGCCTCGATGTGGAAAAATGCTCTTTTCATTGCACAAAAACACCCTAATGAATCCCTACCATTTTGGGATCCTGACTTTCACCTAAAAAACAACTTGCCAAGCTACAGTAAACCTAAAAAGTCACCAAAAAATAACCATTTCACTTGCACAGAAGTGGTATATAAATGATTACAATTCCAATAAAAAAGTTTCCACCCATAGGCTTGTGTATCTGCATTTTAGGGACCTGAAATCAAGCCAGCCGTCTAAGGTGCCGAGCATTTACTCCTCTCTGACTAACACTTTGGTACATCCGCAAAGACGTTTCTCACGGTACTTCATTTAAAACCATACAACCATTTTTAGTCAACCTATGAATAAATAAATAAATAAAAAGAATTTGGAAAATTTCTGAAAATGTGGCAACAGCCTAAACCTGGCGGACTTCCATCAACCAGCCCCTATTTGGAGATACATATACCTTTAGTGAATTTATGTGATCCATGGTTTTAATATGGAAAAATACCGCTTATACTAAATATCAGCGTGTATTTGTTCTAATGGGTGTTAGATGCATTTCAGTTTTGAGAACCTAAGAGTGAAACTGCTCAATGCTGTCAAAACAAACCCTAATACCGCCAGAACCACGGAAACCTTTGTAGAAGTGACAGTTTTAATCTTGTGCTAAACTAGGAATGTGGTCAGATCTTAACCACTGGAAAGAAATTACTGAAAAACATTGGTTCTGTGTGGCCAACTTTGGCAACATAACTCAAGACTCCATTAACTCCCAGCACGGTTTTTCTCAGAACGCTTCTACAAGTGGCGTGCAAAGGACAAAGTTTCCTCTTGATGAGGACAGAGAAGTATAAAAGGCAAAGAACACTTATCGCTTCCACGAGGTTAATCAAAACAAAGGATACATTTATAAGAATGACTTGTCCTTACACTGCTACATACCACTTGGATAGATATTTATCTACCGGGTGTAAGGCATTATTGCTAGCATCCTGTCTGCTTCAAGCATTTTGTGTTTTCCCATCATCTTCATTTCATCTGCAGCCGTAACTAGGGACAACGTCTGGTTTTGGGTGCAACAGAGAGCTAATGTGGGCAGAGCACGCTCTGCACGATCTTCTCGTTTCCCCCCACCCCACCCACTTCTATAAAGTAGCTATTAATGAAGATAAAACCAGGGAGAGGAACTGCTGAGTAGAAAGTGGCGCAAACAGCCTCGACACTGTTAGCTTCTCCACCAAAACTACTTTAAGTTAAGGAGCTTCCTGGCAACTGCAGGCTGTACACCTGCAGTCTTAGTGAAAGTCTGTTGGTGCCTCACTACACAGGTGGGTAGTTACCGTTTCGCTTCTCTAATAACCATCTACTTGTATGCAAATCACCTGCATGTCCAGTCCACAGGAAACGAGGCTCTGAGGCCTCTGAGGTCGAAAGACAACAGAGGAGCAGATGTTTGAGTGTCTCAAGGACCGGCTGACTTTCTTGTTTTCCAAGTCCATAATCTTTATTGCCCCCGAGTCATCTGCTGCAGCCAAGAAATTCTCAGTCTCGTTCACCGAGAGGCAGTTGATCTCCTCCTCATTCACGTGGAAGTGTTCAATGGGCTCCTTGAGGGATCGGACATCCAGCAAGCTGATGCTTTCTCCATGGGAGGCGTACAGCCTGGTGGGACAGCGGGGAGAGAACACCACAGAGGTCACATCGTCTCCCTTGGGGAGCTGGAGCTGTCCTGCCAGAGTGCCTCCCCCATCCCAGAGCGTGAGCTCCCCTCTCTCCGCTCCTGAAGCCACCAGTCCTTCTGTGTTTACGTTCAAGCACAGTATAGAGGATGAATGTCCTCCAATCCATTTGACTGCCATGCTTCAGGGACACCTCTGAAACAAAAAAAAACAAACAAAAGCTTGAATTGAGCTGGTGTCGGTCTCATTACAGTGGAAAGCTTATCTAAGCAACGAGATCATCGCGTTGACTGCAATGCAAACTACTTGAAACTCAACAGGCATCTCTACAGACTAATATCCAAATGAAGCTTGGGCTCAAACAGCATCAACATCAGCCATGACAGCATGGAGCGGCAGCGGCGCTGACGCGTGTACCTGCGCAGCACACGGAGCATGTCTGCTGCTCTGGCGGGGCTGCCTAGGTGAGAGCTGCTTCCTCAGCGCGTAAGGACACAGCACGCCCGACAAAACAGGGGCACGGTTCTGAATGGGACATGCTGGAAAGGGGCAAGGGCAAGATGGCAAACTGTTACTTTTCTTCTGACTGGTAAACACTAAAGCATGTTTGCATAAAATTATAAAAAATGTGTTATGGTTTGAGAAACCCATGACAATTTCTTGTCGTTTAGGCAATTATTCTCTCACCCAATGGCCCCTCCCCACCTGGGAGGAGGAATTGGGGAAAAACAAGGAAACATGAGGGTTGAAATATATATAGATTTACGAGGATACTACTAAATAATTAACATTAATAATACTAAAGAACAAATACTGATCCCAATGCCAATATAAAATACACAAGGACTATCCCCAGCCCGTTCTATCTGTAGAAGCTGTGCACTCCCAGCAGTGACAGCCAATGTGGGGCACCACGAGCGCTGCGGCTCGGGAGGAAGGGAAGGGCTCAGGGCTCCGGCACCGGGGTGAGGAGTTCTCAGGATGGCAGCCGTCACGGGAGAGAGAGAACTCCTCAGCAAACTTTCTAATTTCTATGGAATGTGCCGTTCGTGGTATCAAATAACCCCGTTGGCCAGTTTGTGTCAACTCCTCCTCATCCCCACACCTGGTGAGCTCGAAAACCCAGAGACCTTCAGCCCCACACACCATCGCTGGCTATAAGGTCGATATTTTCACAAATTCAGACACTGGAGTCTTCTAAAAGTGCGTTTTTCCCAAAAGCGCTGGAAGAAAAATCAGTCCCGTGTCGCTCAAACCAGGAGACACAAGGGCATCTTTTTAAACAAGCATCACCCGTTTAAGGCGTGGGGTAGTCACCCCTTCCCGCCCGCCCCGCACCGGTAGGCCCCACTCCCGGCCTTCGGGACGCCAGCTCCTCGGGGGACCGCTGTGCCGGACTGGGGGACCCCTACACACCCAGGAGGGAAGGGGAGGGGGGGAACCGGCGGGCCCACACCGGACACCGGAGG